TTCATCAATAACGGTGGTGGTGCATGTATCCTCCTCTTCATCAATAACGGTGGTGGTGCATGTATCCTCCACTTCATCAATAACGGTGGTGGTGCATGTATCCTCCTCTTCATCAATAACGGTGGTGGTGCATGTATCCTCCACTTCATCAATAACGGTGGTGGTGCATGTATCCTCCTCTTCATCAATAACGGTGGTGGTGCATGTATCCTCCACTTCATCAATAACGGTGGTGGTGCATGTATCCTCCTCTTCATCAATAATGGTGGTGGTGCATGTATCCTCCACTTCATCAATAACGGTGGTGCTGCATGTATCCTCCTCTTCATCAATAACGGTGGTGCTGCATGTATCCTCCTCTTCATCAATAACGGTGGTGGTGCATGTATCCTCCTCTTCGTTCTCATCAGACGTGCTTTAGTCTTCGTCGGTAAAAGGCTTGAAGAGTTTGCTATTTTTTTCAGCATTAAATATAACACATATTTTAGTCACATATTCTCACACATTTTTTAACGTTCTCCTAATTATTAGATACATTGAGATACCAATTCAGAAAAACAATTATTTTCATCTATCGCCTTACAGTTAACTCTATACAAGTTCGAAACAAAACAACAACAAAAAACAAGAAAAAAACACCAGAAACAGTTTATGATTATGTTGACAGGCTGAAACCAGGATATCAAGTGTTATTTATTGTACCAGTGTAATGTGTTAGAAGAAGAATGAAAAAAAGAGAATAGTAAAAAGAGGGAGGGACGTGATAATTTTTACCGTTATCTGTAGCAATGTATTTGTGAGTATTGTTATGCAAATATCTTGGATGAAGTTTTTCAAAGCTAAAACTGATAGCCTAGTTTGCAGACATCTAGCCTTATAGACATATAGTTTTATGATAAGAAGTACTAAATTATCAACATTGTTTTCTATTATAGAAATCAAAGATAAAAGATTCTTTATTAAAAGCAAATGGAATAAATAACACATCTAGCAGTGATTAAATTTACTATTAAAAAAAAGGCTATCTAAAAAGACCATCTTCCGGTACCATACTTGTTTGTGAAACATGTTTCTTTCCATTTTTATTTGAAGTTATTGCCTGTATTTGCTCTCTGCATATATAGGGAATTATTTTGAAGTTTAAAGTTTTTGATTGTCGTATTCAATGCGAATTTTCCCTGCGGTAATGGTATCTAAGACTTGATCACTACTTCCAGTAATCCGGCACTAGTGAGTGGTCATGTGTGAGCCATACAATCCACACTAAGAATAAGCACTACAGAGCTATAAGATAAATTTTATATATTTCTTATCATTTACGACGTGTTAACATTACAATACAGATACGTCCGTATTCATTATAGGACATGGTAGCCACGTGCACGGGATCGATATCTCTCGTGAATTCTCGTCGATCCCAGGCGACAAGTTTGTGAGTCTGGAAGAAATCAAAGCTGACAATTTGAGCGATTCATATGAACCGTTTCAAGTTTCGGAGTCTCTAATACAACTAAACTATTGAAAGAAACACCTTCGTCTTCAGCGNGTAGTAAATTATCTTAACATATAGTGAGCTATCAGTATATATGGACCGAGCTATCTATATAATATATAAAAAATATCTGTATGTGTAGTGAGCTATCAGTAAATATGGACCGAGTTATCTATATAATATATTAAAAAAAATATCTGTATGTGTAGTGAGCTATCAGTAAATATGGACCGAGTTATCTATATATGTAGAAAATATCTGTATGTGTACTGAGCTATCTGTACATGTAGTGAGCTTTCTATTCGTGTAGTGAGCTATCTGTACATGTAGTAAATTATCTTAACATATAGTGAGCTATCAGTATATATGGACCGAGCTATCTATATATGTAGAAAATTATCTGTTTATGTAGTGAGCTACATATACATGTAGTTAGCTTTCTATTCGTGTAGTGAGCTATCTGTACATGTAGTGAGCTAAATACACAGATATCGACCTATATATACATGTATTGAGCTAAACACTTATGTAGTAAGCTATATATACATGTAGTGGGGTATCTTTATGTGTAGTGAGCTGTCTATACATTGAGTGAGCTATATATATATTTAGTGAGTTATCTATACATGTAGTGAGATAGCTATACATGAAGGGCGCTATATGTACATGTAGTGAGCTATATATAGGTAATTATAATATACAATTGTGGTGAGATATCTATTATGAAGTCTGAGAGTAGATAACGGCTCTACAGTACGCCTATAGTTTCATGTTTTTGTGTAATTTCATTGGAAGATCCCAAAGGGTTTTTTAATTTGGGTCAACCCCACTCCCATAATAGGGGAACAAATCGATGTCCACGGGTTCGGGAAGGCGTCGCTACCCCATTTCCAACCCTTGCACCTAGTGAACGTCCCCAGCCCCCAAGGGAACTTCACAAATGTCTTCGCACGCGCATGTTGTTATATAAGAGATTAATAGAATCTCTCAACCACTTGGGGGTAAGATAGGGAGAGATAGGGAAATCTCAACCCGAGGGGAAAGATTCTTAAGTTGCAAAACACGAGGCGTTGCCTAGGGTGAGACAAGGATTTCTCTTACCCTGGACAGGTGTATCCGCACTTTTACCGGTGTGAGATTTCCTTGTCTCACCTTAGGGTTGAGACGAGGAGATTCCCCTATTCAAAACAATGGTATGACGTCACTTCAACAATACAATGACGTCACCTCAACAATCAATCAACGTCACGTCAACCCTGAATTTAGTATGTAACGTTACCATTACATTGCGTATGTGATACCCAATGGGAGAACAGGGTAAGAGAAAAAGAATCATTCATCCCCTTGTGGGTGAGATATGGGAATTTCAACCCTCGAGGAAAGATTCTTAAGTTGTCAAACACTCGGCAATGCCTCGTGTTTTGCAACTTAAGAATCTTCCACCTCGGGTTGAGATTTCCCTATCTCACCCCAAGTGGGTGAGAGATTCTATTGAATCAATCCCTGAGATGAGGTATGGATTAACAGAATCTTTCCCTACCCTGAGGATGTGACAGAGAAATCTCCAGCCCGAGAGGTGATGTTTTTTCGGTTGTCTAACCCTCGGGTTAGCCAACCAAATAAATCACCCCGAGGGTTGGAGATTTCTCTGTTACACCCTTAAGGTAGGGGGTGATTATTTTCTCCCATCTTATTATTTCAGTCACAACTCCACCGACAATAATGTAAACAAAAACACATGTAGGATATAAATTTCGTCATTCACTTTTGATGACGTCACAATTACCGGTGATGCATTTTAATGACGTCACAATTGAACACGTGCTAATCGGCACCAGTCTATCTCCCCCTAGGGGTTGATTAAGGATCAACCTGTCCAGGGTAAGAGAATAGAGAATCCGTAATGCAGATAATTTATAATTTACACCAGAATTGTAAGCCGTAAGATAAATAGCAACCTTTTAGTATAATGTAGACCTGCAAACTCGTTGATCTCACTTAGTGACATAGAGAAGCCGTGAACGTTAACGATGACAATCAAATTTATATCCGTTTAGTGGGGTTAGAGTAATGACGAAATAGATATCCATCTACATTCCAAACCCATGGGAATGATATGAAGCGTAATTTTAAATATATTTAATGAAGCGTACGTGAAGAAGAAGCTTCAAAATGACAAATATCCTTATGTTTTAAAAATGACAATGATTCATAGCACTTATATAAATAGGATTATACGAACATTGGGCTATGAACGCTTTGTGCAAAATGGGTGGTACCGCCAGAGACACATATTATGTAATTTATGTCTTCCGTACCGATTTGCGTTCATACGGCATGAATGTGAAGAGAAATGTGACAATAGAGTTGTATAAACGATGTCGGTCAAAGCATACGTATCTACTTGAATACTGTACTCCTCTTGAGTAGTGAATGCTTTAAGCAATGTATAACCACGGTGTCAGATCTAACCTAATACCGTGATTTGACAAGTATGCAGTATTGTAGTTATGGGTGTGTTGCTCATGTCCAGGATTGTTTCCAGAGTGGAGTGGGGGACAATCGCTTAAATTATCTCTGTCAGTTAAGCTTTTTATATAAGTACATTTAAATATTAAAACATAAAGTACCCTGATCGCGGAAGTAAAACAGTGATTATGTGACAATGGTTGTGAGAGGTGTAGTACACCTCTACGATAAAGGTCGATGTCCTACTGCAGGCCCCACCGTCACAAGCTAGACATGTGAAGAGCACATGGCTGTGTTGACATTGGGCACAGGTGTATTAAACCAACGTATACAACATTGAATAAATACGAATCAACGGTATTTTAAATTAAAATATTTATATCTATGATCAAATTAGTTACTTAGCAAATAGTACAATTATATTTCCTAGAAACAGGGCTTATTTACTTAAGAAGCTAGGTGTGTACATGTGCCGCTATCGAAGTATGAGGGCTTACGTCATGGAACGCGTGCTTCCACGAGTAAGGGTGAATTTTGAGAACGGTAATATAACCGAGAGCAGGTACTCGTCAGTTGTCCCATGATCACAACACACAACAGACGTCCAGCAGTGCTCACTCAAAATGGCAGCGTTAAGTTTGACGGGGACGACTTCGTTGCTTCGCCCAAATTCACAAAAGCTGAAGAATTGCTGTCAACTGGGGAAAAAATTACAAACTTTGGAACGATCGTTTGGTAAATTTGGAAGTTGTCACAACAAATCATTATCTGTATGTGCTGGAACTAGGAAACATAAAAAGTTATTATCTCGAAAATTCTTAACTGAACAAATTAATAACTTTCATCGTGCCGTGTCGCCGGTTTTGTCAAAATCTACAGACGTGAAATATCAGCTGAGTCGGCCAAGACTTAGAGAGGAGGAGGACGACGATGTGTACGATGGTCTACCTCAGGTGGACACGCCCACATTTACAGAGGAGGTTTTTAAAGGAATGTCAACAGAATTCCCCTGTCTCACCAGAAAGTAAGTAGCCTTAGCGCACAGTCGTAATTACATGTCAACTTATAACAAAAATAGTTTAAACATAGGAAAGAAAACGCATAGGAAAATTCCAAAATGTCTTATATCTGTATAATGCCTTAATAATAATAAATAATAATAATTCGAGGTTCTTATTTACCGCTTTATCACATCCTAGTAGGTCGTCTCAAGGCGGTTCACAAATTATTATCCGTGGTTATACGGCTTTTGCAACCAGCCAATGCCTTTCTAAACTCCCTTGGGAGCATACAGCCGGAGCTGCCATTTCGGCGCTAACAGCTAGCATTCAACAATTCTAGCTCTGCCCAACGACCTACTCATTTACAGCTGAGTAGGCTGGAACAAGCGGAGTAAAGTATCTTGCTCAAAGACACAGTGCCGTGCCTGACTCGAACCCGCAACCCTTCTGTCACGAGCCCGGCGTCCTACCACTAGACTACTGTGCCTCCATAAGGACCTTAATTAAGACACTATGTACGATACGACCCAACAGTTGTAAAAAGTCAACAATTACATATGCTATTAACAGGTGAAATGATGACGTAAGAGCTGGATTACTTTCAGACTTGACAGCGGGATATTCTGGAATTCCACAAATGTTCCAACTGACTATAAATTAAGGTCCTTTGCAACATACTCCCACATAAGAGTGACACTTGTCATTAAAGGTAGTTATCAGGTCATTGTCCGAACAGGTGAGGCGATTACGTTATGTAACATGTAGAAAATACTAAGTCTGGTCAGCAATAACAAGATTATACAAGTTACAGGACATAAAGGTAGGGTAAGGTTAATTAACTTACATGTAATTGTACTTAGGGTAACAAAGCCATGGAGATAAACATGTCAGTTTTATTTAACATGGTAAAGATGCAATGGCCATGTCGCAAAATGATTCTATAAAATACAGAATGCAAACACTTTCCGAAAATATCTCGTTTTCCTTTTAGACATAGTTATCATCGCTGTTAAAATGTTTAAATCACACCTGAAATAAAGTGAATACTAAATTCCTGAATACATCTTTTTGATACTATACTCTAAATATTATTTAGAATNGGGGGGGGGGGGGGGGGGGATTTCCCCAGTCATTTGGAGGGTGGAAAGGTATATGTACATGTATGTGTATGCAGTCGGATGACAAAATTTACGTTTTGTGTCTGGGTACCATGAGACCAAATGTTGAACTTCATTACATCAATTTTCAAGTTCAGTGCCAGTATTTCTGAACCCGTTCTCATGCTCTAACCCAGATTCTGTGTTCAAGCCCGATTCGGAAGAATTTTAGAAAGACTGAAAGCAGGAAACTGTGTTCTAAGTTTCCACTTGACGTTTTGGACGTGTCACATAATTTAAGCGAGTATTAAACAAGAAAGTAAGGGTCAAATCTTGAAAAAAAATCCCCTTCAGGATGGGTAAAGGTGATGTAAATCTGACATGGCCTTGAGCACCCTTGGGTCAAGGGGATTCAGTGTTAAAGGAAGAGGGGGTCTCTCGTTGGGACAGAGGGCACTAAACGTAACTCTTTATCACCAGTGCAGTTTTAAGGATTTCAACTTAACTCCTCTAGAGCAGCCTTTGGTGAAGGAACACAGGGGACTTGGAAAAAGATAGTTGTCATTAAATCTGTAAGAAGCGGCGCTGTGATTGAAAGAAGAAGAAAATATATTTTATTTAAAGTTTGTTTTGATCTATTTCGCCTTTGCAATATTATATCAATTAAAAAATATGTCAGTAATAATTAATCTTACATGTTCTCCCATGGACAATCAGTTAAGTACAACACTACCACATTCGCTGAGTCATAGTGATCAGCGTAAATCACACGATAATACAATGGTTTACGTTTTGTCTGTTATCAGTTAGACCTTAACCAGGATATGTATAAAGGTGTGGTTTATATTGATAACACATCTTGTGTTTTTGTTATCATGATAATTGATAAAGTTGTTTACTTGTTTCGTGTACTATTCCTGCTAAGTAATGTGTTATCATACTGTCGACCGAGATTGTCGATATGGTCGGTACAGTATTTGAACCTCTGTGTACTTTTACCGGGTTGATCATGTAGGTCACGTTGGTTCAGTAACATGATCTGTGCACCTGGTGGTGGGAAGACCTTATAACAACGAATCTACATTATATTTCCTTTGTCAACGCGGATGGTTAGATACAAATTCTTCGTTATAGGAGATCCAGCTCAAAACTCTTTATATATTTTTAATTTTTTAAACCATCTTCATTTGTATGTTTGAAAGTTGTGGGCTTATACCGCGCATGCGCCTAGCTTATCTGTATAACATGTACGGGGTGCATGTACACAACATCTATGTCTCCTGGTTTATTTCCATTCATAGTCACCAGTTGTTATCGTGTGATTTGGGTCAGTGTATTGAACAAATATATTTGTTTAGTTCACAGAGGGCAATATTTGTACATTCATACGGACGAAGGGAATCAATTTTAGAGATATACGCCATAACAATTCAATATTATACGTACAATTCCACAACATTTTGAGGCATACATGCAAAAGACTAATGCTATTGTCCACACAAGTACAACGTGACATATCGTTCTCACAAGCACCACCAACCATGTCCACAAATTAGGGCGACCATTATTTTCTAATACCGCCAACTTTGTTCTCAAAAAAGGCATAAAATATTGTCTAAACAAAGACCGCCAACATTGTTCTCAAAAATGACATCAGATATTGTTTAAACAAAGACCACCAACATTGTTCCTAAAAATGACACCAGATATTGTTCACACAAAGACCACCAACATTGTTCCTAAAAAGGACATCAGATATTGTTCACACAAAGATAACTAAAACAATGACCATCGATACTGTCCAAACACAAAGACAACAAATAAATGGTTAATCATAATATTGTAATAATGTGGGTTTTTTTACAGTAAGATGACAGGTCCTGAACCAGACTATGATAAGATTTCCTCTGGCTACAAGACCTTTACAAGCAAATCCCCTTTTCCTGTAAAATACAACAACGCTGTCCTGCCTGAGGTTACTATTGCTTATGAAACCTGGGGAGAGCTGAACGAAGCCCGTAGTAACGCTGTCATCATCCACGCTGGACTGTCCGCCAGCTCCCACGCTAAAAGCCACGAGGTACGGATTCTTTATACTCTGATGTAAGACTCAGTAACAGAAAGGAACAAACACTCCTTATTTGTTTTCTGAAGCTGAAGTAACCGGACGTAAGACTTTTTGCGGGTTATCTATGATACAAGGACTAATTAGATATTGTTGCATACTTGCCATCCCCCTCCCCGTGGACTTTTGTAGGATCCTCCCGAATCCTGTCGCCCTTTTAGGTCTCCTGATCGTATCGGTCCAAAATAGATTATTCGTCTGTAAAAACTGTTGCAGAAATTTTATCATTCAAATTCTGAGAAAAGGATGAAATTAAGAAGACTACACTAATGAAATACATTCGATGCTTATGAAATTGTCTGTTTCAATATTGGTGAGTTTTTCATCTTAAAAAGTCAACTACCAATTTTATTTGGTGTCCTTTCATCTAGCTAAAAGTATACAATGTATATACAATACCATACAAATAACGTTAAAAAGGAAACGAGAGGGTTATCATAAAATAATTTAATCTTGCTTGTAACAAGCATTTGCATTAGCTTACAAATGTATGTTATCAGCCCATAACGTAAAAAAATGACGTCGCCGTTTGTAACGTCGCTTTTGGTTGGCTGATACGGCAGCGCAATAATTTCTAAGAGAAAAGAGTCCATCAATAAAAGTGGATTTCAACAGGGATTGTGTAAAGTAGATTAAATCATAAGGATAAACTTGAATATATTTTTCATGTTATGGAGCTATAACACAAAAAAACGGAGTGTACTCTAAATAAACCGCGAAGTACACTCCGTTTTTTGTGTTATATANAGCTATAACACAAAAAACGGAGTGTACTCTAAATAAACCGCGAAGTACACTTCGTTTTTTGTGTTATATATCCATAACATGAAAAATATATTCAAGTTAATCCTTAAATATCTTCAATATTTTCATGATATAGGATATAATTGTGGAGACATGGTTACTGTGGAAGTATGAGTTGTGACCTAATTAAATTCTATGTATGTTCTCTGTTATGATGTTCTAGATGGTCACATTGATGTTTGGACTTTAGACATAAACATGTTAGTTTAACCTTGACCGATGTCGTTACTGTTTGTGTACCTCTTACTAGACACCTGACATATTCCTACCTGGTAAACACTGGTGTAAGTAAATAGTAGGGGAGATAATATCACATGACTTAGTTTTAGTTGACTTTTATCTCAACCCAAGACATTTTTTATCTGAAATACAAATGTCTCGAGTAAACGATTATTACGGTGCTTCCCCTATAAACTATGCTGTCTAGACATCACTATCAGAATGTCCCAATATCCACCTAGTGTTTTAGGTAACCGATATATTTTTTTCTATCGAAAATTGTCCAAGTTTATCAACCATTACATAATCGATTTTTTTACCTGGGAACAAGAACGTCTAGAAAAATGGGGTTCCAATACAGCGGTCGTTGGACCATATTAATATCAAAGCGTTGTGGTTATTGGACTATATTAATATCAATACTGGGTGGTCATTGGACCATATTAATACCAAGGCATTGTGGTCATTGGACCATATTAATATCAAGGCATTGTGGTCATTGGACCCTATTAATATCAAGACTGTGTGAAGCCCAAGATTCCTCTGGTCCTGACATCAGACTTCGACATTTTGACAGATAGATGTCTAGAGGTTGTGATCATCAAACACTTATAACGATGATATGGAGTTATCGAACCAATCTGTTTATAACAAGGCTATTGACAATAGTACAGATATCATGCAGCCTGCCAGCCTGTTAGAAGCACAGATACTGTGACATATTGCACTGGAATGACCTGTCGAGACACTTTGTTAAGGGCTATTTATCTGTCCAGCAGTGTCCAGCGTGATGGTAAAATATGGAATACCTGTGACATTGACCTGTATGGTGTCTGAATGTCGGGTCTGGTTTATGACCTTTCTCTCGACCTGGATAGATAAACTAAGCTAGATAACAAACAGAACCCATACCCATATACGCTAATTGATGAAAGTCACTACAACGGTTACATTTCATTTGGCGGTGCTGTAAAAAAAAACATAAAGTTCTGCGCATTTGAGTAATCGTAGAGGATCAAAAAAAATATCAAAAGAAATAGCATTTTGTTAAGAAGAATTGCGACTGTTACAAGACTGTTTTTAATTTTGGACAACTGTTCCAAATCTCCAAAATAATGTTTGGTAGGGACAAGATCCATGGGTCACCACGCATAGGCCATATTATTGGAGCGTCTCGCCCCATTGTCCAAACAAACACCTCATAAACCTTTTTCTCCACTGATCACCGTGGACCTTTTCACGTGCATCTGATTCAATTGGACCATCCAACAAACGGTACCCTAGTCTCCATGGACAATCTCACATCATATTATAAAACTAATGCTTAAAATCGAATTCGTAACTATTCATAACAGCACATATGTATCAATTGGAAATCATGATTTTATATGAAACATTATTATATATGATATTTTTTCATTTAAAATGTGGATAAAGTTATGAAATATTGTGTATTTTGGACAGGATAACTTTTTACCTGGTTGGTGGGAAAAATTTGTTGGACCTGGATGTGCTGTAGATACCGATAAATTCTTTGTCATTTGTACAAACAACATAGGCAGTTGTTACGGATCAACGTAAGTATTGCTATCTTTATCTGTAGTGTAATTGTTGATAACATATCTGTGTTACAAATCAACGTAAATATTTCTGATTCAAAACAACGTAAATACGATGTTAGATCGGTCTGCAGGACAAGTGTCTCTGTCCTAGTAACACACTTGTTTGGTAGGGGGCAAGGTCATCACGCATAATCCAGATTATTAGAATTAAATAAAACATAACACATCCAGATTGTCGGTCAAACGTTGTTATAAGAACAAAATGACTTTAGAGAAAACTTAGCCACAAAGAAATGAAGGAACAGCAGCTAAATTATACCAGAGAACTACAACTCCATCCATATATAATAAACTTGTAGATACCAAAAACGTTTGCCTAGGAGTTTTACTCTTCACAATGGAAATTCGATGTAAAGTAAGCTTTTGACTAGTATTCATGATGAATTTGTCGATGTTTGGGAGTGGGAAAAGGGCGAAAGATAAAACACCACCAATCATTTCCTGGTTTGAGGTATTATTATAACGTCTAAAGTCTATGGTAACAACAGTTGACTTCAGCTCTAAGGGTCAAAATACAACTGTAGATACTAGTTTTTTTGACAAGAAGATTTATTTAAACATGTTCATTGAAAGAATTTTTAATAGATACTGCTTTCAGAGATTAAAGCAGTGGTTTCAATATGTCACCGTCAGAAAAGGTAACCTTAAAAGTGTGATATTATAACAATCATGTTTTACCGTTTCAGTGGTCCATCTTCTGTCAATCCTATCACTGGAAAGGTAAATATAAAAAAAATATAGATCTTCTCTTGTTTTGGATCCAATGTTCATCAGAAAAATGTAACATAAAGATGATTAATTAATAATTATTTTACTGCTCAGATGAAATTCCGAAAAAAATCGAAAAAATACCGAAGTATCAACAAAACAGTTACTTGAACTCAACATCGATAACAGTAGAGGAACATATGAACAAAGGAAAGTACAAGAAGAATAAGACCAGGTATTCTGGACGAGTAAAAGCATCTGCTTCATCGATGACATCTGCTTACCTGTTAGTCTAGGTCAAATCCAATTAATGTCACGTCCTCATGTGGAGATCCACACAAATGAGAATAATAAAAAAATCGACATTTATATAACACAAAGAGTTAGTTTATTTCCGAAAGTATTCTTGTGTTGTAAGTTTGTTTGTCATCAGTCGACATATATCACCAAGTCACGATATTTTGATCAAACTCTTGATTACCAAATCAACTGCGACATGTAAACATCATTTGAGAAGCAGTGATATTACTATCAAGAAAGGGAAAGCTCATGTTCATCAAAATCTTCCTTCTACAGTTTAGTAGTAAGCCATCCCTGTTGTTCATAATGTGGGGAAATGGAAGAGGTAAGCAAATCAAATAATTGATATGGTCCATGCATACAAGATTCAATTATATATTTACTGTAGTTTTGCAAGACATAACTGTATAGTTATATGAAACACTATTCCAGCTATGTATGCTCAAATTTGACATTATTCTTGCTACTTAATTTTGGAATAGAATTTGATTAGACTTCATATATCGGTCGAATGCGAATGCTACACAAATGTAGTCATCTGTCCCAATTCTGTGGATATATTCTTTAATTTAAATTTCACTGAAGGCAAATAGTTTGGCATTCTGCCGTGATGCAGCAAAGTATCTGTTCTGTCAGCACTTGCACCTCATTGAAAATTGTTTTGGGATAGCAGAATACAAGCATAATTTAAATTTAATTCCATCAGCACATGTAAACTCTTTCATATTTCCCATGTTCATTGGTTAACCTGATGTTCACTAGCATTACTGATTGATTATCTTACACTGATTATTTGCATCAACGCTGTGAGAATTTGAGTTACTCTGAAACAAATGAAATTGATAAGAATTAATTCAGCATTCTGTTGAATTTTTGTCAACTTTAAAACTAGATAAATATATCATTGTCACTGCTTCTTTAAGCGAGCTACTTTATTTGACAGCAATATGCCACGACATTCCCTGTGATTAGTATAGACGATATGGTCAATGCCCAATTTTTACTGCTGGATCACCTGGGAATTGAAAAGGTATGTAACCAATTATGTATCAACAGGACATCTAATATGTCTACATGTAATCCATGTTGTTACCAGTTATATCACGTATTTCTAGGTAATATCATGTATACACTAAAATTCAACTGTTTCTAAACATGCATTGTACCAGTAGACTAGACAAGAATGTCATTCAACACACAATATCTCATATCACTGCAAGATTTGAAATAGGCTATGTAAAAATGAACTGTAATATATTTTGTTACTTTTTGACTCCTCTGCAAGTCATTAAATTATGATAACCGCTAACTACTGTGTCTCTAAATCAGGAAACGTGCTACTTATAGTCGCTGATATACTACGGTATGATGAGTGTTCTTTCCCCATAGATCACTTCATTACTTGACGAATTAATGTTCTTGTTAATTACTAGGAGAATCATTTACAAATCAAAATCTTGTACGTATATTTATTTCATCGATAGCTTATATCAATATTGAAATATCATCCTCTCAATCTCGAATTCAGGTATTTGCAAATAAAACCTTCAGGGGAAATTCGGAACTTAAATAACATGTGTAAAAAGTTATTTACAACGCGCTAATTGATACTATTATTATACATTAGTTATATTACAGTTGCGGTTACCTACATTGTATATTTGTCTGTTCTAGCTCTACGGCAGTGTCGGGTCCTCCTTAGGAGGCATGTGTTCCCTCTTGTCAGCGTCTCTACACCCTGATCGAGTGGAAAGGTATGCATTTATATAAATTTTGACATTTCACACTTACAAAGATTTAACATCCATTTGAAAACAGTATTCACAGAGGCCAAAGGCAAAAGACTATAAATAATTTCAAGAGATGATTAATTCCCGAGATAAAAGGTAAGAAGTTCTTCTCCCCTGCCTCGTTTGACTGATGTATGTGTGCCTCACTTTATTATCATTTGTTTCGTCAAAGGTTCCGAATGGTATTATATATTGACCAAATGATCATGTACACATTGTGATGTGTGTGTGTGTGTGTGTTGGTACTATGGTAGGCTTGGACTTCTTCGATATACAGTACATATTATCTAGGGGTAGGTGAATGAGGAATTATTTCATGATTATATGTATTATGAAAAAGTTGTCAAAAAATAAACAATAACAAAAAAATATAATTGTTCACTGACTGAGAATCACCCCAAAAGAATATGAACCGAAGCGAATCGCACCTTTTGTTAGACTGTTCCCTGTATACTTTTCTACTTGGTCCTCAATTCTATGGATATTTCTTCTATATATTAAATACAAGGTGATAATTAAAATGACAGTAAATAAACATTTCTTGCTACTTTATGTCTGTTATCAAAACGATCAAAGAAATGATATGTTGCTCACTTTAACATATTGTAGGCAAGTCATCCATTGTAATATTTTGTAGGAGGAGAGACAACTCGTATTCGAGTTTATAATATGAAATGAAAAGTACTTATTTTATAATTGCTCGGCATACACTCTGTTCATCGTGTTTTGATAGATGTACTTGATTTTTTTAAAGATTTTTAAAGATTAATTAGGAAAATAGTTAATTCATGATCAGTTGCCTCCATATTGATTATAAAAAAATCAGCCATCTTATTACTTGGTGTATTAAATATGTATAGACATAATTATTTGCCGTACAATATAATATAGTGCAGACACAACATAATTTTGGGTGCAATACGTTCAGATGCTTAAAGATAATCTTTCAATGATTTGATGCAGTCTTGCATGCATTTCATATACAGTGTTTGAACAAGATGATCTCTGTTTTGGTTCATTTGTATGCAAGGAAAACTTTAATCATCATATACAATTCACACATGTTGACAAACGACCATATAATCAAGTTATACTCAGCCTTTTATCGTTCCCCCTTTACCAACAGAGTGGTGTCCATATCGTCTTGTGCCCAGTCCCATCCTACATCTATATCGATGCGATATCTCCAGAGGAAGACGATCATGTGTGACCCAAACTGGAACAAAGGTTACTACTACAATGGAAAATTCCCCAAGATTGGCATGAAACTAGCAAGGTATGCTCTCTTCTCATCTCAATCATAGTTTGGTTTGGTTTGGTTTAGTATTGTTTGACGTCCTATGAACAGCTATGGTCATTTAAGGACGGCCTCTCCTGTGTGCAAGATGCATGCGTGTAGTATATGCGTGTGTGTTTTGGGAGGCTGCGATTTGTTCGTGTGCGCTATCCACTGCACCACCCGACCACCTATAAACTATGTGGGATGTCCGGCAATATATAAGAAGGAGAGGTCATTTTTGCGTAGTTCGTCAACATTCAAGCTCACTCCTACTAAAAATAAAGTTGATCTTATCTGATCCTTATGTAGATGAAGGTAGTGCATAGTCTAATCCTTTAGTCAGAAAGGTGAAACTCAATAGGAAAGTACGGTCAAATATTATATAAACCTTCTCATGAAAATGGCTTCGTAAATTTAAATTTTGCTCTCTACAATACAACAATGGGAATGGTCTCCTTAACTAAGTTTCGTTTTCAACTACCAGGAACATGAAAAGGTTGAGATCACTATTGAAACAACGCCAACCAGTTAACTTCCAATTTTCATGAGGTTAAATTTGTTTTTCTTTTCAAAGGGAGATTGCAACCTTGACCTACAGAAGTGGTCCTGAGTGGGACAAGAGGTTTGGGCGAGGCAGGATAGACAAGAATGTTTGTCCTTCCTTGTGCCCTTCCTTCCTCATAGAGAGCTACCTTGAGCACCAGGGTGAGAGCTTCTCTACCAAGTATGATCCCAACTCTCTTCTCTACATATCTAAGGTAGGTACTATGTACAAAGCAACAAAACTTAGATACATTTCTTTTCATCAGTCTGTACACAGGTATTGTTACCGCTATTTCATAAAAAAAGAAATATTAAAGGGACCATGTTTGAACTTGGTGAACATGATCTCCTTATTCCATAGTGGTGCATGCTCTAATTTGAAATCATTCAAAAGTAAATGCAGAGCAGCCATCTTTAACTTTGCGAGTGAAGATTGTTATTGTCATTTCTCAAAAGCTACGGAAGGGAATGCGACAAAACTTGGTATGTATATTTCAGTGCATTCTGCATTTCGAAACGGATAAAAACACACACAAACGGAAACAAAATGTCCACCATGCAGGCAGCCATCTTTGAGTTGCTGCTATTTCTCAGTAACTACAGAAAATATATAAATGAAACTTAGGAGACATACTCTTTTGGTCCACAGTTATGCATCCTTTGGTTAGAGATGGACTGGAAAAAGAAAACGGCTTCTAGGCACCTGCTTTCTTAAATCGCATTTAAAGTTATTACCTGTTTCCCTGTAACCACTATAGGAATCATAATGAAACTTGGTTTGCATGATTTTCTTTTGAATGTAAAGTTTGAACCCATATACAAAACTGAGTTTGTAATTAGAACTGACGGTGTATAACGTATCAGATGGACGAACCCTATCAGAGGTTATTCTTCCATTTTCCTTTTTCAAGACAGAAAGTAGGATTATAATGAGTTAATACGCCACCTCTTTACCATTATGCATAAGGTCCTAATATAAGTAGCGGGTGGCGCTGTTGATAGCGCACTCGTTTTTGACCAAGAACATCCAGGTTTTAATTTTCCGATCTGACTTGAAATTGCATTGGCTTACCTGTCCGACCACGTTAGTTTTCTCCGTGTACTCCGATTTCCCCCTAGCCAACAAGAGTGATTAATATCAGTTGATAAAACTTGTTTCATAATGTTGTAAAATATATTAAGTATATATTGTATATGCCTGATTATTGGTTGTAGGCCATGGATCTGTTTGATATATCTGAGGGCCATGACTCGCTACACGCCGGTCTGTCGACAGTTCAATGCCCTACTATGATTCTAGGTGTACAGACTGATATCCTTTTCCCCATATGGCAGCAAAGACAACTCGCACGGATTTTAAAAGAGTCTGGTATGTATATTTACGTCTATTACTGTTAAACATGTTGTTATAAGGCAACTTATTCCCCTTGACCTGGTTATAATTATGACTGAAGGTGAAATATTAAAGAAATAAGCAGCCTAACCGGACACGAAATATGTTTGTTTTTGTTCCTTTCCTTTAAATGTTTATTCCTGATTAACTGAATGCTGTAAGATCTAGCTTTTTTTCTGACAGGAAACCCAGGAGTTACCTATTATGAGTTAGATTCTCTTTTTGGACACGACACGTTCTTGTTAGATCTGAATGGTGTGGGAGCCGCTACTAAGGTAAGTACAGTGCCAACATAACCCTATTAGATAAACAACAGTTATAACCTTATAAATAAACAACTGTTATAACTTTATAAATGAACAACTGTGATAACCTATAAATAAACAACTATTATAACCTTACAAATAAACAACTGTTATAACCGTATAAATAAACAACTGTTATAACCTTATATATAAACAACTGTTATAACCTTATAAATAAACAACTGTAATAACCTTACAAATAAACAACTGTTATAACCGTATAAATAAACAACTGTTATAACCTTATATATAAACAACTGTTATAACCTTATAAATAAACAACTGTGATAACCTTATACATAAACAACTGTCATAACCTTATAAATAAACAACTGTCATAACCTTATAAATAAACATCTGTTATAACCTTATACATAAACAACGGCCATAACTGTAAACATAAACAACTGTGATAACCTATAAATAAACAACTGTTATAACCTTATAAATAAACAACTGTTATAACCTTATAAATAAACAACTGTTATAACCTTATAAATAAACAACTGTTATAACCTTATAAATAAACAACTGTTATAACCTTATAAATAAACAACTGTTATAACCTTATAAATAAACAACTGTTATAACCTTATAAATAAACAACTGTTATAACCTTATAAATAAACAACTGTTATAACCTTATAAATAAACAACTGTTATAACCTTATAAATAAACAACTGTTATAACCTTATAAATAAACAACTGTTATAACCTTATAAATAAACAACTGTTATAACCTTATAAATAAACAACTGTTATAACCTTATAAATAAACAACGACAATAAACGTAAACATAAACAACGGCCATAACCGGAAACACAAACAATGACCATAATCTTATAAATAAACACCAGTCATAGCTCTATATAATAAACAATGGCACAAAGAAAACGATATTATATCACCCTATCATAACGCTATGAATAACCATCATATGGATAACCACACGAACGCTATCATACGAGAAACAATACAGACACGACCTGTGTGTCTACCTGAAGACATCAAAATAAAAGAAAACATAAAGTTACTTTTCTGTTATGTTCCTTGCAAAATGCCCTAGAAAATGTATTTGAATAGTTGTTATTTTTTTTCTGCCAAGCTTTTGCCTACCAAACATGTTGCTAACCTCCTTTAATGCCAGAAAGGTAGTATTTTAAGTGTATCATAAACATTAATTGATGTCCAAAGACGACCGTAAGACGTACAGGAAATAGTACAGCTGGGCTAAAACAAATTGTGTTGAAGTCAAGAAGAAAATATCATCTGTGTATGAAAAACCCTTCTCTGCCATAATGGTAGAAGTAGCCCGGCCCTATCATACATGTAGCTAATTCTGTGTAACACGTTTCTGAATTGAGCTTTTTACGGTGTTGTAAACCTGAACGGAGTATGGTGTGTCATAGATTATTTTAGAAAAGCATGTGTTTATTTAATTCATGTCTTTGAAATAAGGTGTACACTACAAATTTAATGACAAAACCATGTAGATCGTTCCCAATTTATATAATTTGACTACGTTTAAAATGAAGTGTTGTCTAAATCTAGCCGAACCAGAACAAGGCCACTACTCAAAATATTATAGTGACATTTTACATTTTAAAATCTTTCTTTATCGATTTTTTGTGTTTTTTGTTGTTAATAAATTTGAGTCACGTTTTTCAGTATCTTTTCATAAAACAAAATATCGTAGATATTTACATAATATTATGTACCTTGTAACGTATACATTACAATACAAGCACATGCAACAAAACAGAACATAAGTTAAAGGATTTATTATCATAAATCACACAACTGGGTCGGGTTAAGGAAAGCACACCTTATATTCATGTTGGCTTCGTTCAAACTAAACTCAATTCTAAAATGGTATCGTTCATGTACATTGATCCTAAAATTTCAGTCGGAGTTACCTCCCTCTACTCCATATTGTTGACATATTGCCATATTGTTATGGCACATGAAGGCGAAAATTTAAAAAAAAATCTAATCTAAACGAAATGAGAAAGCCATTTAAACTTTTTCCATTTAAAAGATATATTTTGATGGTTTTATGTAATTAATTTCTTCATAACCATTCCATTTCAGGGTTTCTTAGAAACAGAATTACGCAACAAAGGCCACGCTGGGAAAGAGAAAACATTTACATGAAAGGCCCGGAGAATATATTCTGAGGCAGGAAATCCAAGAGACTACTTTTAATTTCCAATTAAATTGAGACGGACTTTTTAGATATTGGCCCTCTGGATTGTGCTGTTGTTTTGTATGTCTTTCTACAATAGGATATACTGGTGTGATATTTACGCTCTGCCTGTATGCTCGTGTTTCACCTTGAGAAAGGTGATAATTTATTTGTCCCACGTATAAAACTCAATATAAGCGTGGTCTTGAACTGACAACGTATATGATCATAGGTAAATCTCGAGGTTTCCAGGACCTGAATTAACTTCATACAAGGTTAAGGTCACACATGAGGGTAAAGGTTCAAATGTAGATTTCATTGCTTCACAAATCATTTTCAGGGCTCTCATTTCAAGGTAATAAGTCAAAGATATAAACTCTTTCGAACTGAAATTGAAGATGAGTTTTGCTTCAAATTCATGAAAGATTATACCACTTATCGTAGTTTCTCTATCGGCAACCTTAAACCCGCAATGAAATGCATGGAGAGAGGTTCAAACTGGAATCTTAAGGTTTTCCTTAAGTACTGCATAGATTGCAATAAAACTTTGTTGTAAACTGTGCTATTTTTATATTTTTTATTCCATTACCTTTTGTAAAATTGTTAAACATATCTTAACTACTAGTGTTTTTTTCATTTCGACCATTTATTTTGCAAATATATGCTCATATACATGAACTTTAATTTTGACTGCTTCATCTTCCAGACCTTATAGATTTTAATAAAGTTATGGACAGTTTCATAACAGTTAATTGTCTGGACAAAGCCTTCTAGACTTGATTAAATTTCAATAACATGTTTGTACATATAGTGTCCAGTGTCATAGGTCACTATTTGATTATTCTTGATTTTGACCGTTTTTGGCAGGTCAGGAACGCGGAGTTTGCCTGTGGCCCACAGTTGTCCTGTCCTTTGGTGTTTGTGAGTGGGACGGGGAGGTTTAATACCCTAATATTCTGTGCGTGTGTGTGTGTATGTGTGTGTTTGTGAGTGGGACGGGAAGGTTTAATACCCTAATATTCTCTGTGTGTGTATGTGTGTGTGTGAGTGGGACGGGGAGGTTTAATACCCTAAAATTCTATGTGTGTGTATGTGTGTGTGTGTGTGAGAGAGAGAGAGAGAGAGAGAGAGAGTGTGTGTGTGTGTGTGTGTGTGTGTGTGTGAGTGGGACGGGGTGGTTTAATACCCTAATATTCTCTACATATACTGATACTAGTCATAATTAAACTTAAGTGAGTGTGAAATTCATATTAATATCATCGTATATGTAAAAAAGAATTGACATTGCAACGAGAAAAATGTTTTTGCCACATCAGTGTAAATTATTTGCACCATAGTCAGTGTTAAAATAATCTTAGTCTGTTATGTTTTATCATTTTAGTTTTATAGAATATTTTTGAAATTCGTCCCAAAACTTTTAATTTAAACTGATCAAATGTTTGCAAAAATTGAAACATGATCTATAATTCACGTTTTACATTTATTTTTATGAAAAAGACAACTCTTTCAGATCCTTTATATATATTGTTCATTAATGAAAATTAAAATCCCAAATTACACCTTATATGGGTAGTGTATGTTCTCCCAGCTTCGATTCAGGTTCTGAAGAGTTTTCTCATGTCTAAGTGTTTCGCACGTTTGGTTGCATATTTGCTGCATTCTAGATGTTGTCACACTTGAGCAAGCATGATACATTTTATTTGATGAATGTTTTTTAACATTAAGTGAGTTAAGTCATCAAATTGTTTACCCTATTGCAAAAAAAGAATTTCGGTACATCAAATAAATATATGTATTAATTACTAGTCTTATCCAATAGGCATGTAAAATTATGTGTTCAAAATCTGAATGTTGTTATTGACACCAAAGCCCTACTCCTCTGAAATGAAATGATGTCGGTAGAAACAAATTACTTCTAAAATGTGCAAGATTAAATAAAATGTAGCAAAAGATTTAAGGAAATTACGTTAGTACACTTTTCATTTGTTACGTTTCGATGTATTTTCCTTTCTTTTGAAGTCTATGCTATTTTGTGTTCGATGTAAAATGACATTCATTGTGATAAGTATTATGCTATTTCTGAATTGATGTAAATGTATTGCAGAGATAACTTTTGTCATGTTTTAATAAATTGTTCACAATCTGTTTGCTTCACTAACGCAATAAAATATGTTTCAGTCACAAATGTGTTTGCAATATGACTATCATGACCTGCCCATTCTGGGAACATTTATTACTCTGGATTAAATCAACTCTTATTTGTCCATATACAGGCATGAAAGGACATAGACATTGCATTACTGAAATAGAGTTTCTTTACCAAATTGTTTTCCAAATACGAGGTGTAATCTCCAATATTAAACTTTAATTGTCTATCTGACATTTAGCACTAGAAGGGACTGGGCTGGTAGTATGTGACAGAATCATTTACAAATGACGAGGAGAGGTGATGCTGAACAACCAGTCACTTAATTTAATATCAAGTTTAAGTTTCAAGTTTTATTCAAACTTTGGGCCATTGGCCCATCAGTATACAAAACCTTTTTTTAAACAAATCATGGACAATGTACAGAGGATGAAAACAATCATATTCCATTATAATACCCTTAATTTGTTTGCCTCATATATGAATTTTCCTAGTATACACAATTCTTTAATATTATGGACACTCAATAACTGGACGACTTTAAACACAGATGGTTTTTTCCAATAATAGCTTTTGATAAAACGAGATCTGAGATTTTGGAATTTAGAACAGACCAATAAAAAATGAAATTCGTCCTCTAATTCAGAGGGGGAGTTACACTGTTTACAATATCTACGTTCTCTAGGTATATTATTATACCTTCCAACTTCTATAGCTAAAGAATGGGTAGATGTACGTATTCGAGTTAAACAAATGCGATATTTCTTTGGTATATATTTTGTGAGGTAAAATTGTAATGTTTCTCCAAAATCTATTATATGTTTATACAATAAACATTTTGGAGAGTTTTCCACTGTGGCCCTTAGGGATTGTATGCCTTGATCAAAAATTCTTTGTTTTATCAATGGTAATAACAGATTTTGCTGAGAGATGCATGGATT